CGATGACCCTCCCGTGGTGGTGTGGAGCCCACGGATGGCGCAGGGCACAACAGCCTTCATCCTTCACGTTGCTGTGCTAGCCCGGGGTGCTCTGGAACAGAGGGTGACCCTAAGCTTCTAGAAGCACTTTTTCATACTTCCTCTAACATGGATGTCTGACTACGTCATGAAGTGAGATTTCAAGGAGGCTAATTGAAATATTTTGCCCGTTTCTGTTTGTTTTTTAGTCCAGGCTTACACAAAGGTAATGAGCAGACAGCAAGAACTAAGGCTGAAGAAATAAGAATTTCCTTATTCAAATGAGACCTATGTTTTTGTGTTGTCTTAATGATTAATGTTGTTAAAAGTAACGGCTCTTCCTCAGTGTCAGCTATTTATTTTACTTGTTGCTGAAAATATTTGGAAGTACAAGATAACCCTTTAAAGTGTTTTAAAACTATTTTTGCAAGCAGTTGTCTGAAAAAGACCATGTGTTAAGTTTAAACTTATTTACAAAGTAACTTATAAAAGTTTTCACATTTTCAGTAAAAAGTGTAACTAAAATTTTTAGAAATTTCTGAAAATGGTTAAACTTTGGACTTGTTTCAGGGATGGAAGGAATCTGATTTCTAAAATTTTTCAGGAAAGATAGTTTAACATTATTTTTCAGTCAAATACAATACTGCATGAGACTTCAAAGGACATTTTACAAAACTGTATTTAACCTCTTAGATTTCCTTAAGGCTTTCTGTGCTTAGTTGTCCTCAGAGTTACTGGATTTTTATATTTTGCAGTGTGATTGAAGCAGAATTTGAACAGGCCTAAGACCTGGTATTTGACCCACTGATGTCAGTACAAATCACTCACTAGCTTTCGTGGACTTGTTTCATCATCTAAATAATCTATTTTACTAGCTCAAAGCTGCACGTTGGTTTTGGCCACAGGCAATAGCTGGAAGATACTGTTTTTTTCACATTAATCGTGCGGAGGTAATATGTGAATTTTAATCGGCAGCCAAACCCCAATGTACTAGGGTAGTGCTGTGCAAACATGTAACATGATGGCAGTCTTTGCTCAACAAAATGTCATCACTATTAGATTAAAACCAGTATAAAAATCAACACCTGAATGTTGTGCACAGAGGTACAGAGCCCAGGAGAACTTTTTAATAGAATTTTTACTCGTGTGAGTTACACATCTAATTTAATGTGAGGGAAGATGAGCATGTGAAGTGATGATACAGAATTGTTCTTAATAACTCGGTAATGATCAGGTTCCTTAGCAAGCATATCACACATACGCACAGAAACAACAAACACGGGCAAGTATATAAAAACACATTTTAGAGCTTTTGAATTTGGCTGATATGTTAGATCTTATAACTTGAAGATGTTGTTTGTATAAAAGCTTGTGATAGAGGAAAGTGATAGACTGGACAAAGCTGTAATGGTAATAGCTAGATTTAAAGGCCTATAGCTAAGAAATTACCCTTTGTGCGCCTTATGTAAATATATTAAATGTATTTCTGTGCTTGATTAAAAAGCCTCACATTTCAGGAAAAGTTATTCTGATCGTGAAAACTGTTGAAGCTTTTATGTCATTAGAACAATTAATATTTTTGTTATCTCTCAAGAACTAGAAATGTATGCAATCACTACTAGCTATTTTGAAACAGACTTACTACAAAACCACTAATTTTATATAGAAAAATTAATTGTTAAGCAATATTTCTCAAGTATTGACATATGAAACTCCTTCTGCATGGAACAGGTTGGACTATGATATTTAGGGAAAATTCTGGCAGAATTTTCTGTTGAAATCCCTGAAGAAAACCTAGTATGAAATGTCAGGTAACTTTGAAAGTGACTAAATAAGTTCTATTAATAGGTGGATTTTGTTGGATGTAAAATGGTAACTCAGTAATTATATTTCTTGAGAATATGCATCAGCTATCTAGAATTACTCAGTTGGCATCCCTCCATGGTTTTATACACAGACAAATTAGGGCATAGATAGTCTCAGCTGTGACTGTCAAGATGTAACTTCACTCTCACTGTTTCTGAAGGGTTGCATATCTAATTCATCAGTCATATTAAAGACAGTTCCCGTGTCAATATTAAATCTCACCTGTGTATCTGAATTCAGTGCTGTGGAGTTTTTTGACTCGTGTCATCCATTGCCAGCAGTGCTGCGTCTGCAGCTGGAATTTAGCCAATAACTATTGATGACAGAAGGTCCAGAATAGAACCCGTCTTACTTTCCCAACCAGTATTAACTCCTGCACCACTGTCAGGCCAGTTCTGCACTTAGAGTTGAACCAATGCATCTGTTAATGATGCATACACAGAATCCAGCCAATTTTCAGCTTTAATGGCTCTGGCTGCTTAGAAAAAAGCATAAGATTATTTTTCCCCTGTAATCTAATCAAACTTAGTTTTCAATATGCACAAAGAATTGATCTGATTGATATGAAATAAATTGTCATTTTTTTACTTGCAGCAATAACTTCTATGACACATCTGGCCTAGATGTTTCCTGACAATATCATGGAGTGGGTGGTAAAGTAAGGAAGAAAACAACCAGAATACTGATTTCCAGATCCTTGACCGAATTTCTACATCAGCTTATTAAGTTCACTTTGGTACTGCTTAACTATTAGTAATACCTGTAAATGTTGTTTTTGTTCCATGATATAAAAATATGTGCATAAAATGAAAACTTGTAGAGGGGTGTGTATATATATATGTTTGTAAACATGTACAGGATGCTAAAAAAGATCCAAGAGAGGCCGTGTAGAGAAACAAGGCAAGAATATCATTATGGTAAGAAAAGTGATTTTTCACACAGTGCTAGCAGTCTGCTTGCGATGGCAACATGCCACAACGCCGGTCAGATTTGCAGTTGTGTGGCACTGTGCTTTGCGCTGCTTTTGCATTCAGGACATTTACACATTAAAGAGTACCTTTATGGAGACTAACTTTAATTTCAGTTGCGTAAAGCTTTGTGTAAATGCATTTGGAACGACGTTTTCCAGGATGCAGTGAACTTTTCCTGGGCCTTTTGCTTCCTTTTCTTCATGCATGGGAGCAAACATAGGTGGATGGCTAAGTGCTCGTCCTGAAGAAAAAGGTTTCAGCCCCTTTTCTTCAGCATCTCTGGAGGGAGAAGGTGCTTTACATCGTATTTTTGGAAAAGGGGGGCCTCATGTGGTCAGCCGGGAGAACAGCTGCCTGCCGGGGTGGGGGGGCCCAGCCGCAGGCGCTCCCCCCCCTTTCAGTGGAGCTGTTGTTAGGCAAGCCAGGCCGGCAAACGTGGCAATAGTGGTGGGTTTTCATAGCAACACTGGTGACTACATTAAAGGAAGAAGAAACACCCGAGGGTGATTGCAGCTGCTCTGGTACTGTACAGGTCTGAAGTAGGAAATACGGTTCTCATGGGTCCTTTTTGTGTTAGAAGAGATTATACCTTTCATTGCCTTACTAGGCATCTAAAACAGGTAACAAAGTGTAACTCAAACTCTGAAGTCCATGTTTGATACTAAATGAATTAGTTGACCAAAAGAACGGAAATGGAGCTGTGGTCTGTTTAGTAACTGACAAAATGACAATATTTTGATTCAAAGGCAAAATTAAGGAAAAACAAAAACAAAACCTGAAAGAGTGCCTAGTGCATGTGAATTTAAAAAATAAAAAACCAAACATAATGTTTGAGGTATCCAATGTTCAGTTCTTTGCCTTGAGATGTTGTAAGATGTAGCTGTGAGGAGCAACCCAGGTAGAGAACTGTGAGAATACCTGTGTATCAGCCAGACATAGGTTAAAGCCCTAGTGCACAAGCAGGTACTGCTGAACTTGTACCTTAGACACATATCTGGGAGAGAAGTAAGTCCAGTCGTAATGTATTTATCTCATTCCATTGACTACATTCTTATTCTCAATTCTAAGCATATTCTCCAACTTTTCAAAGAATTAAATTTTTTTTTAAATTCCCCAAAATGCAGGATTTACCGTCAGTAACACTCTGACTGCTATCAGCTGGGATTTGTGAGAAGTCTCTCATTGTGCCTGCCCTTCTGAAGAGATTATTTCTATTTGTGACTCCAGCTGGGAATAGTCTCTGCGGATGGCACAGGGCTGCCCTTGTGCCCACACACGCGAATGGTGCAGGGCTGGAAGCTGGTTCTTTGTTTCTTCCCTTTTGCTTTATAGCATTTGTCCATTATCTTGTCTCTTTCAGTGACTTAAATCCATCTTGTTGTTTAACATTAATCAAAATTTCCCTTAAAATCAAATGTACATATAACTGGGATGTGGCTCTCAACCTACTCGGTTCAGGTCTTCAGGATACTAATGGGTGGGATTCGTCTGGTACATAGAAATTGCATGTGGGAGTGGGTTATCAGGTCACCTTTACTGCCCATCAAGCAGTCAGGATGAAGAGAACAATATTCTGGATTCTGTAATCTCACCATGGTTTTTTAGTTTGCTCACCTCCCCGATGCAGCAGATAGTGTCTAACGATCAGCAACCCCATCTTCTGAGTGATCTCCAGTGTGAGATGCAAAGGAAGCATTTTCTGATGATGGAAGCTTGTGTTTGTTACCAAATGCTTTTCAGGACCTTACTTCACAGAGGGAAAAAAGCCCCTGCAAAACTGTTCAGTTTTCCAGTGTCTAGAAAAAAATAATAATTGAGAAGCGTTGTCTCTTGAGATTTAAAGGAGGCAAAATAAGTGTATCTTATTCTATTGCTTTATTTCTTCTTGCTATAACTTAGATGCATTTTGCAATGGAATATTTGTACCCATAGGGCCCAAAATTCTGGATGTCTTCTGGTAATATTTTTTTTTTTTTATTATTATTTTTTTTTTTTTCCCCAACAGCGTGATGCCAATGTCCCTGAAATTCATAGTGGAAGTACTTGTTCAAGGGGGAAAAAAAAAAAAAAAAAAAAAAAAAGACAGAAGTTTTTAAGAAGGAGGGAGCGGGGGGGTGGGGGAATCCTGCCCTGTGACCTTTTTACCTGCGCATCCATCTTTGCGCTTCCCTCGGGATGCTGTAGGCGGGTTTGCGGGCGGTTTCCCCTCAGGAAGGGCCGTCCTCTGAGCGGTGCGGACGGACGGACACACATCCCCCGCACACCCCCCCCCCCCCCCCGCCCCGGGGCACCGCCGCTTTTTAATTTCCAGGAGCAGGCCCCCGCGGGGTGCGCACGGCTGCCGCTGCGCGCCCGCGCAGGCCGCCTGCCCCCGCCCGGCGCAGCGCAGCGCAACGAGCCGAGCCGGGGACGGCGCCGGGCATGGCGCCGCTGGTGCTGTACCACTGGACTCAGTCCTTCTCCTCGCAGAAGGTGAGGGCGGGCGGCGGGGGCGCGGCGGGCTGCAGGCCCCGGCCTGCCTCCTGCCTCCTCCCGCGCGGGGCGGCCGTGGCGGTGGCGGTGGCGGCCGCGGCCTGGCCGCCGCGCGGGCCGGGCGGGCGGCAGGGCCCGGCGGGGAGCGGGCGGCAGGGCCCGGCGGGGAGCGGGCGGCAGGGCCCGGCGGGGAGCCGGCGCCCGAGGCGGGGGTGCTTCTGCGGTAACGCGGGCCGGTGCCGTTGCAGGTGCGCTTGGCAATAGCCGAAAAAGCCCTGAAGTGCGAAGAGCACGATGTAAACCTGCCGCTGAGCGAGCACAACGAGCCGTGGTTCATGCGGTTAAATTCCTCGGGGGAGGTGCCGGTCCTGATCCATGGGGAAAACATCATCTGCGAGGCAACGCAGATTATCGATTACCTCGAGGCAACGTTTGTAGATGGTAATCCCGCGGGTGTTTCGGTGTGAAGTCCTTCCCCGTGCCCCCGCAGCCGTGGTGGGGTCAGCTCCGTATTGCCACGCGTTGGTTCATTCGGGACCTGAAAACGCTGAACGTCTCACAAGTAAATGGGCTCCCCCGGCAGTTGGTGGTACGGGGTGAAGCCACGTTCCTTTAAAAGGGACTGAAGGCCTTGCAGCACCTTTGCAAGCCGTTGTTTAGTGAAAACCTACTGCTCCCTTCCTCACCCCTTTGGGAAGGGCGGAGAAGGCAGCAAAGGCATGAAGAAAACTTCGTTGTTGAATGAATATAATACATATTTAATGATGGCATTTTCATCAAATGAGGAGTCGGGGCCCAGGCAGATCAAGGGCAGGATAAAACTCAGTGGTGTGCAGGACTAGTTCTAATCATGCTTTGAGTAGGATTCCTGTACTGTAATTTTTAAAGCACTGGAGCTGTAGTAATGTTTCAGCTGTAACGACTTACTAGAACCTCAGTTGTGCCCTGCTGTGAGACGGCTAAAGAGTTGTGTACCATGGTTGCCTGTTCCTAGAAGTACAAAGTAGATGCTGAATCCAGTTGTTGGATTCAAAGGATTCTTAAATATGTGTCTGTATGAATTGCTGCACAGGAATTGAAATTACTCAAACGTTTTAAAATGAAAAGTTTATATGTTTCTCTGAGCTGTGATAACACCGTTGAGTTATGGTGGGGAACAAGTGAAGCTTTATTAACTGTGGCTGTGTCATCTGTGCTGATTGGACATAGCCAAAGTAACTTTGGAAATACTGCTTTTGGTCAGTTACATGGTTCTTTTCTTAACTTTAACTTTGTATTGCAGAGGAAGTACCAAGATTAATGCCAGAAGAAGGGAGCATGTATTATCCAAGGGTACAACACTATAGAGAGCTTTTAGACTCCTTGCCTATGGATGCCTACACGCATGGCTGCATCCTGCACCCCGAGTTAACAGTGGACTCCATGATTCCAGCCTATGCCACCAGCAGAATTCGTAGTATGTACTGGTATAGCTCTGAATGCCTATCAGTTGATAGGCTGTTGGATTACATTCATCTTGTGTTTTCAGTGTGCCTTAAGCAGAATAGATTGAGTGCAGATTTCAGATTTTAGTTGCAGTCCTTGATAATTTGTGCATATGCTTTTATTGATTGTGTAGTCTGTTATGATTTGAAAACAGGAAAGAGGAAGTATCATTTTTGAGGTGTCTGTGGACACATTAGTTTTCCTAATGATTGAAAATGTGCTGCTTGTGTGTAACAGAAAATGGCAGCTGTAACTATTTTGTCTTCTTGCTGTTTATGCTTATAAAGCAATTTCTAGGGAGCAACTCTATCGCTGCTCACATCAAACCACTACACTGAAGAAACCCCATTTTTTTGTCATTGTAAACTTGTAATAAATTTACCTATTAAATTAAAGCAATTGCTTTCCTCTCAAATTGGTACAAATGCAGATTAGTTTAAATGAAGGGGAGTCCATTTATCTGGTATTTTAGAAGAGAATTATCAGGCCCTTTTTGTCTGAGGAATGTACTAGTCTGAACTTTGTGCCGGGGGTAGGGAGGAAAAAAAAAAGTCTGAAGAAGTAGCTTGGGTTCATCAGACCTATGGAAATTGTTAAAGCACAATTTAAACCAAAATCCTGGGTGCAAATAACGCAACAATATAGAAACAAGGTAAAGGATGAACTGGTGATCTGGTAGAATAAACAGTAAAATGTTCTTTGACTTCCTTGGGATTGGTATTTTACCTGATGGACTTCTATACATACAGCAGTTTCTCATCAAAAAATATGTTAAGGGCAGAGGAAATAACTGTAGATTATGTTGCCCAGTCCCCTTTATAATAGAAAACCTCCTGAAATGAGCTCTTGTTTCAAATCCAGTAGTTTGCAGAAATACTTAACATTCAGTGATATTCAGAATAATCCTTGGTAAATAATCTTTCAGTTCTCATAGCTTTTTTTCTTTTTTTCCCCTGGGTTTGAACACCAGAACTGGACTGCAGATTCTGTTCACTTTAGTATCAGATAGGGAGATAAATATTTAATTCTTTATTCTTGTTCTTTTCACTGTATGTGTGTTCAAGGGCTCCAGCTCAGCCACAGAACTGCACTGGGAATCCTTGTTCAGCATGTTGTGGATCATGACCTCAGTCTAGCTTTTCAGAACTGCTTGCAAACTTACGGCCCTCTTGCTGAGAAACATGGCCTGTATCTTTTGCTTCAATTTATATTTTGCATCGGACTGTGTTGAAACATGGATTGGTTGCTTAGGCCCGGTTTATCAACCAGTCCAGACCACCGCAGTATCAATGCCGTGGTTTTTTCTTGATTTATGTCTCTCTTAGTCTTTGTACCATGGCGAATTTTAATTAATGCTTTTCTGTTTCCTTCTGAGTATTATGAAAGAACTAAATAGTTCTAGGACAAGGATCAAATCCCTAGAACACAGCTGGATGACGATTTCCTGTTAACAGTTATGTTTTGAGGTCTCTGATTTTTTTTCGTCAATGTCAGTGCTTTATATCATGTTGTTTTTTGTATGCTATTTTAGAGTGCTTCATAGAACAAAGTCAAATACTGCGGAGACTTTGAAATGTAATACAACTATGATATTACCAAATTGATAACATCATAAAAGATGATACTGTGTTACTTTCAGAAGTTCTATTTCCAACAAACTGTGTTATCATCCTCCTTAAAATTTTTGGCAAGTCTTTTGGCAAGTCTTATTAGCCATACTATTATGTTGTCAGAAGTGAAGTCAGTCAGTTAGTTTTCCTTATAGTTGCATGAGTTATCCTTTATAAAACACCAGTGCAGAATTAGTTTTCTTTCTGTCAGCTGGAAACTTCTTGAGCATTGCAAAGTATTTAGAAGTGAGTGTTGCTTGTCCAATGAGCAATGGTTGTTTAAGAATAAATTCATGATAAAAAGTATCTGGAGAGATTTAGAATGCTTAATTTCAGCAAGTGTAATTAGCATTTTTTTTTTTACTGAAGTAACATGAATTATTCTCTTATATCAGTGTACTTTGAAGTTTTTTTATATCAGTGTACTTTGTTATATCAGTGTTTTTTGTTTTCCCCAAATGTGGATGCTAACTACCTATCGAACAACTGTACTTTACTCATAGGCATTATTGATAGTTTTTCTGCTTTCATATGGTAATAGTCAGTGCTTTTATTATGGTTCACTTTACAGTGTTTTCTTGTGTTCTGCTGACTGTACTTATTCTTCCCCTCTAGCCTCTAGTTGGTATAAATTGTTGTCAGTTTACGCACACACGTTCATATTGCTAGAGCTAAAATTAGTACTTGTCTAAATTGTTCTATTTTTTTGTACTTTCTTCATCTGAGGCATTTTTTTGAATAGCTCATGTATGTTCCTAAACAATTCTTTTGCTTGTTCAAACTTCTCCCGGATGGTTTTGTTTTCAGCTTTGAAAAGCTGATCTTTTTCAGAGTGCTAGTTATAAGCCAGTAGCCAGTTATGTATTATGTTTATGCATACCAAATCCAATTAAGTAATTAATTGCATATGTAAGACTGTAGTTGTGTGATTACATCCTTCAATTTCTTCATCTACTATGTTGAAAGATGGCTTTCATAGTCATGTCAGGTTGAAACAAAGAATATATAAAACAGTGAGTTCATTATTCTCTAGCAAGAATTTTTTATTAGTTCAATTTATAAGACTTAATTGGAACTAATCTTAATTATCAAGGACAAGTGAGAGGTGATTCATGCCCTATAATTATTCTTTTGTTCTCAGTTTATTACTAGAAGTACTTATTTTTAGAAGATAACTTATTAATCACTATCTTTTGGTATTACAGGTCTGTAAGTACAGCATTTTCAAGCAAAACCCCTTTTTAAGGAGAGAAAAGGCTATACACATGTAGTAGAAATCAGTAAAATTATCTTAAACTTTTCATGTCATTCCTTCTTTAAGTCATGTTATGAATGTTTATCTAGGACATCCGTATACTCCATAATGAACGTTTCCAGAAGGGATCACAGATTTTGGTGTTAACTTTTAGCTACCTGAAAGCACCTTGGTTCCATATTCAGTGGTATTTAGGCTTTTGCTGTGGAATTACGAATATGACCTACAGAAAATCTCAGTATGGGCTGGTTTGTACTTTCACAGCATGGAAAGTGTGTTAGGAACCCAGGAACTGAAGTACAAAACCATCAGAGACCGAAGGTATCTGTAGTAGAATTTGACGAATTTATCACAGTTTTAGACAGCAAAATGGTTTTATCTGGACGAGAGAAAAATATTAAGAATTCCTCATTCTTGCCTGGCACATCACCACTTTATACAGTTCATTGCAGACTGATGAGCAGAAGGTGTGGTGGGGCCAATTTATGGAGCAGTTAAGTTTTACAAAACATGATGTTTTTGAATCCCAACTTGGTGTGGTGATGCTTCATTGAAGTACTGCTTGCCATTTCTTCTTTGAATGGATTTTGTTACGGGTATGTTTGGATATCTAATGTGATTCCTTTGTTTTTTGTTTTTGTGTTTTGTTTGGTTTTGGGGTTTTTTGTGTTTTTGTTTTGTTTTGTTTTGTTTTGTTTTGTTGTTTTTTGTATCAGGCCAAATAAGTAACACAGAATCAGAGTTGAAGAAACTTGCAGAAGAAAATCCAGACCTTCAAGATGCCTATATAGCAAAACAGAAGCGCCTTAAAGTAAGCAAACTCTCTGTATTCCCCCCCTTTATTATCAGCTTGTTAGTGTCAGATTTTTTCTGTCACAATGTAAACATTTGTTTCACCTGTCATTGCCAGTAATGTCATGCAGTGGTTTACCCATACAATTGGATTGGTCCCACTGACTTCAGAGGTAAGTACACATCAATGTTGGTGTTGGGCTGTTGAGCACCCTCCAGGGTGAGGCACACCTTGGTATCTAGCATCTCTAACATTTTCCTTCTGTTATGTGAATTGTCACCAGTATCCAAATGGTATCCAGCTGAGTGTGTGCAGAAAATAATTGCATTTTATGAATAAACGCTGTAGTATCTAAATAAAAGCTTCTCTGATAAAAGTATAAACTCTGTACAATGATTAAGACACTAACGTGTATTTATATTTAGTCTAAACTGCTGGATCATGATAATCTAAAATACCTAAAGAAAATACTGGATGAACTGGAAAAAGTTTTGGATCAGGTTGAAACTGAGCTGCAGCGTCGAAATGAAGAAACACCAGGTAAGGAATTATTCTTGCTAAATCCTGTTGATGCTTATGTTTGGGGAGACTGAGTAAACTTACTGACAGCACCATTATAGAACTGGTTTTAATGTATCCTGTTTGATAATTTTAGCATATACTGATCTAACATCACAGAAGGGATCAATACTGTTTTAAACACTAGTTTAGTTTACTGGTGCTGTCAATGAGTTCTCGCTGTCTTATGGGAGTGCTTGATCACATTTTCAGCAGTGAGTATAATAAGCTGTACAATTCTGCAGTATTTTATCAACAAAGTAAGAAAAACCTCAACTACAGATTGTTATTCTTGATGTTGTAGTTGTAGGCCTCAGTTCACTAGAATGACTGTGACCTTAATGTTTAACGCAGGTTTATTACAGTCTTGTGTAAATACTGTGCTGATATTTGTGATATATGCAGAATTAGCAATCGGGATAAGTGCTCTTAATGATTAAGCAACCCCCCCTCTTCCATTCTTTTGGAAAGCAGTGGTGTTTACCTGCCATCCACCCAAATGAAAGTCAAATTTTGTTTAAATGGGATTAGTCTTCTGCTTATTCAGAGTCTAGTCCAGCTCCCAGTGGTGCTAATACGAATCCTTCCTCTGGCTTCACTGGGTGCTGCATGAAGCATCAGTCAGTATCAACTGCATCTGCTCAGATCAGTAACTTGTTGCATTTGGCTCTATAAATAGCTGTTGTAATAACTGTCAGTTACTATCAAGACAGTAGATTTGAAGCAGCAGTTGAAAATCTAGGTTAAATTTTCTACTGACTCAACAGTGAGAGAGTCACAGAAAATGTTTTAACTCACAAAGGGATGGTATGATTTTGTTCAGCAAACTAAGTCTGTCACCATTTGCAGCATCCCTTTTGGTTTCTCTGTTACGTAGACATTCCAGTGAGTCAACTGATACAGTGTTGATGAGCTTATGAAAACTGCCAGGATCACAGGATTAAGCATATGGCTATTACCTGCCTCTTGGAATTTTGCCTGAGGTATTCACATTTTTGAGGGTTGTGATCAGTGCTTCTCCAGGTCCTGAGCTTCTGCTTCTCTTGTTACTGCTCAGATCCTTCATTCACTTACTGCTGCTGACACTTCAGGCATATTTCTTCCATGCAGGTTAGCTTCTTTTGTCTTCCTTTCCATCATCTTACTTATTTAATGCACTGGATGAACCTCCAGGTATCATTTCAGCAACTCATTCTCTGTAGAGGCTGTTCTTCCAAACCTGCATAACCAGTCAAAGTGGTCTGGTACCAGCACTGTGTCAAACTGTTGCTTCCCTCTGGTGGCAGATGAGTTGAAAGGGACATTGCAGAATTTCTCTGTTTCCACAGAGGTGCTGCTGAACGTTCATGTGGACGTTTTTGTGTGCCTGTTGTGTGGGAAAGTTGCAAATGAGGAGGGAAGGGCATAGTCCTGTTTGAGATTTAGGCTAGAGCAGAGTGCTTACGCTGGCAGCCATGCTAACTACCAAATTACATATCCTGGGTTTCAAAAGCTCTCGGTGTAGTCAGTACAGGTCAGCCCTTTCAGGTGGTGGTGGTTCAGAACATTGAAGTTAGAGGTGTGATGCTGGCTGCAGTGACTGTTCTGACATCCTCTGAGGAAGACTCACCTCTTCCCTTTGACTGGAGAGGTAGCGTGGGGTCTCCATCTGTGCTCCTGACCAATGGTGGGCAGTGTGAATACTCACCGCTCCTCAAACTTCTCAGTGTCAAACCCCTGTGGTTTGGGGTGTAGGAGGCAGAAAGGAGGGACAGGTAGAGAAACTGTCTTCTTGCTGAGCTGGCGTGCTTGGTGCAGATCAGTCATCTGATCCATTACTTTTTGCCTTGAAAGCCTCCAGCAAATTAGCAGTTCTTGAGTGAATGCCATAGAGCTGAGTGACACAGGCAAGACGAAAATTCTTCAGGCAAGTGGTAGCTTTTCAGTTAAATCTAAACTGCTTTCCTCCTTTCCACTCCTGTATAATTTAATCCAGTTTTGAGAAATGTAGTTAAGGAAAGTAAGCGTTTGCTATGGATTTGAATTTATGAATCTGAAATGTGGCTCTTTTTTCCTTAACAAATGTAGGCCAGGCTGCTGAGCCTAAGACTTTACAATATTGTGTGAAGAATGGACAGGGATTTGTAAAACGTTCATTGATTAAAGTCATATCTGAACTGAGGTGTTGGTGGTGTTCATTAGACAGCGTTTTGATATAGCACTAAACTAAATGCTATCCCATGGAGGCTTCTACGTGTGCTTGTATTCCATTAGCTCCTAATTCTTTATGGTTTATCTCTGCTTAGAAGATGGAAATCAGCCTTGGCTCTGTGGTGATTTCTTCAGTCTGGCAGACGTATCGCTTGCTGTCACATTGCATCGCCTGAAGTTTCTGGGATTAGCAAGAAGAAACTGGGGAAACGGAAAGCGGCCCAACTTGGAAGCCTATTATGAGCGTGTTCTGAAGAGAAAAGCATTTTACAAAGTTTTAGGACATGTCAACAATATATTAATCTCAGCTGTTTTGCCAACAGCGTTCCGCGTGGCCAAGAAGAGGGCGCCCAGGGTTCTGGGCACCACCCTGCTAGTCAGCATGCTGGCGGGAATGGGTTATCTTGTTTTCACCTGTCTTCGGAAGAGGTTTGCCAACATGATGTTATCAGTTAGAACCAGGCAAAATTATTTTTAGACTCGTCTGTCCCTGGTGGTGAGTGGAGGGCATCTCTATCCCCCAGGAAAATATCCCCAATAAAATATAAACGTAGAAGAAAGGTTATATCTGTGAATTAGAACATTGTCACACAGTAATCGTCTCCGGCTGTTGTGTAATTGGATTGGCGATGCTGAGATTTGTGGAAAATATATGTTGGGGGGACACAAAGGAAAGAAGAGACATTCTTTTCAGACGAGGATCTATAAGGGCTGTGACAGTGCTTTGTTAAAGTGGTTATTGTCTCCTTTACCCAGTAGCTGACCTAATTATATTGCTTTTATTTAATTGATATGCAGCAATGTGACAGCTTTTCACTGTGAGTGAAATACATTACTGCGCAGAAACCAGCATTGTTGAAATACTGAAAAGAGCACTTTTAATGCTTGGAGTAGGATTTAAGTGGAACATAGGCTCTGTGCCTGATGTGTATGGAAGTGAATGTCTTGTACTGATTAATGTCTGTTGATTTGCAGTTGGACCTTTAGGAATGTGTTAAAAAGTGTTCTTGTGGAGCCACTTCTGTCACTGTCTGCTCATACAGCAGTACAGGAAGAGACCGGAAACACATATGATCATCAGTGATTTGTGAGCCACGCGAGTGAAATTCTCCAGAGGCATCAGTGGTCAACAGATGCTAGATTTCTGCTGAAATACAAATGGGAGTGAAAACCTGACACTTGTCTTTTGAAAGACTTTTGGGTAGCCTTTGGCCCAGCCAGGTACCCAGCTCAGCTGCAAGACCTGGATGGGTCAAACGAAACTATCTCGGTCCACGTTTCCTGCTTTCACTGGTGTAGATCAATAAAGTTATCGCCACGTTAGTGTCCATGTACCCTTTCTTGTTTCCACTCTGAACACTAGCTATCTTTTGCACATTACTTGGCTATATTAGCAACTGCATGTGCCTCTATAAAATGTTTGCCCACAGCGTGCCACAACCAACTAGAAAATGTGTGCACAACAACGTGTTCTGTAAAAGTAATTTAAAATAATCCATCGTCTTTCAGTCTGGTTAGGTAGCCTAGATTGAAGGTGAAGCTGTAATTTAGCAGTCTGTTTGCTTATGGAGAGGTGTCATATTGGTGGTAGGTGAAAAATACAGGTCAGTTTGGAGACAGATGATTTGTACTGCAGATTTTTTGCAAAGCTGCACTTCTGTAGCATGTAGGAAGGGTGTAGAAAAACGCTGTGATTACTTCCCACTACTCAGTGGATGCTGAGAGTTTTACTAGATTTGAACCGAGCTCCCGTTTCAATGAGAAATAAGCATTTACCTGAAAGCAGACTTTGAATCATTTTTCAGCAAGAAAGCAATTGGGAGGGGATGAAAATTCTTAGGACAGTAAGGTTTTTATATTCTCGATGAATGTCTGAAAGCCTCAGGGTTTTGTTTACAAGCTATAGATAACCGCAACAGGCAAAACAGGGCTTTAAATATTTGCCTATCAACAACCAGTGCTAACAGGCCTCAGTACATTTTAGATCCAGTGCTGGTGGCTGCTGTCTCTTTGTGCAATTGCTTTTGAGCACCAAGAAGATCTAGCCTCAAGTGTGCTGGAGAGAACTGAGGCAGTTTCTGTCTGGTCAGTCTTACTATCTAGGATATATCAAAACAGATAAAATTGTTGATACTCCTGCTGATAATTTAGTATGTGGTAGTTGTCTAGCAAAAGAAGACCTAAATATAATTGCTTCTTTTCAGAAATAAGAAACATCTTACCTGGGAAACAATTATTTTTTTTATCTGTCAAAAAGACAGTTTTATATAATTCTATTTCATGACCCAGTTGTTCTCAAGAACTTGTTGAATCGAACGTGCTCTATTTAGAAAGGTTTTATTACCTCTAGAGTAAGTTTAATCCAACAATACTATTAATGTGCTGGCAGCTTTAACTGAGTTTATGTATTGCAGTTCATCTGCATTTACTTGTAACCCACAAATTCCGCTAAGGAACTTTCCAATGAGTTAATGAACACAGAGTAAGGCCTGTATTTTAATGCTTGCCTGGCATGCATTTCCATCAGGTGATCTGTAAAATATAATCTGATCAAGTCATAGCAAAATTCAATATATATGACTTAGCTTTTTTAGAATTAATTTGTATTTTACTTTTTCCTTCCTTTTTTTTTTTTTTTTTAATGTGCTCATTCATTCTAGATAAGAGCGCTTATATTCCCAGAGGTGTGTCCGTTTAGTTGACAGTAGCAGCCCTGTGGGCTGTGATACAGTCTAATTGTTGATGAAGTAGTTTTACTTCCCCCAAGCCTCAGTGATCTCTGGGCTTCAGCTAGTGCTTGTTGCCTGCCAGGAGCTGTAGGTAACTGTTGGGAAGGACTGGAGTGACCACCAGATGTCAGTGGTCCTCCGGGGCTGCACTTCGCCTGCCTCTGAGATGTGCAGGAAAACGCTGGTTTTCACAAACAAAATGTTTGTCATCCCAGCATAGGATGGATGAGAGCATCCTCATCAGACTAGCAGTCTCTCAAGAGCTTTTGAAACAACTGCTTTGGTCTACTACAGGTTGGTTTTCTGGTACCTATCATTTATGTTTATGTGTAGTTTTTACACTGGATAAATAAGAGGGCAAAGTTGAAATAATATTTCATATTTAAATGAATGTTACCGAACAGCAATTAAACTTGTCATCTGCAGGAATGAATGTGGATAAAACTTTTACTGCAAAAAAGTTTGTCTCCCTGGTTTAATTCGTGTCTATTAGTTCAACTATTTGATAGTCTAATTATTTTCACTTCTGTATAGGTGGCAGCAAAAGGCTTATCTGTTACTAAATTCCTCAAAATAGGATGAGATTTAGAAGCACATGTGCTGTATATGGCTCTTTGTGCAGGATAGCTTTTGTGTGGTGCTTGTAAATTTTCTTTTCAGCCTGGCTTATTTTCTTTGCTCTGGTACCTCTGGACACTATTTAGATTGGAAACACAAGCAATCTTCTGGTTTTCATGTACTATTTGCTCTCATATCATGCATCAGATATATTTCATATCATATCTTTGTATGTGAGGCCTGCACAATAAACATTGATTCTAAGACCACTCTCTAGACTGGTTTATGTCTTCTGTGTCAGTAAAACAAAGCACATTTGAGGATCACCCAGTATTGCTGTAAGGAATCTGATGCTGTTGGAGGAGAAAAGTCTCTGGTATTTCAGTTTAGAAGGTGTTCAAACAGATTGTATTGCATCTGTCTGGAAACAGGTTACAATGATATTTTTTTTTGGTTATCTGTCTGAGCTGTATGTGCACAAGGCTTGACAGAAGCCATTTAATAATGTTTAAAATCCATTTAAAGAAGGAAGGCAAGCAGTTTTTGTGTTTTCAGTGAACCCATACCAAAAAAAAAAGGTTCCTTCTGAATGTGGCCCTGTTTCTTGGTTTACATTGTTGAGCTGCAGAAGCTGGGACTCCTTTCTGTAAGGTGCATGACAAGCACGTAAGCTGTGTCCACACTGATGTTGTCATTAATGAGACAGAACAGCCTGCCCTGGCCACTGTTAGTCTGGCCATAAGCTTTTTTTTTTTTTTTTCCTTTTTTGCACTATAACAGTCTGCGTTGGACCTTCTTTTAAGCAGAGGAAGAGACAACACTACTTGAGGCTTGTGTTTCAGCATTTCTAAAGTGAGCAGAGCTGCTGGGCTTGGATAGACAGCTGGTAGGGCTTGAGTTTCAGGAGATCATGACGCCTATGGTCTACAGACCAACTTTGAGGTGGCCTTGATGTTAGCATTAATCAGAAGTATACACAGAGACCTTGCTGTGAAGAGGTTATGTCTAAACAGATGAGAAGCACGAGTGAATGGGAAGGTGAGTATGGCTAGTATAAATGCCTTGTCCAGATTCACACAGCCATACATCCACTTTTGTATATCACAGTTTTAAAGGCACTTTTTAAATTAAGTCTTAATTTTATGAGAGCAAGGAGCTACTAAGGTTTAGAGAGCAGATTGGTATGGCCAAATTCATGAGGATTAGAGAGAGCAGTAGACAGAAAGTAGGTGGGAAGTGGTGGATGTAGCTAACTGGACCACACTGCTCTGCAGTGAGGCATATGACAGTTTATTCTTTACGGAGGCCTCCTTACTAAGTTCATCTATCTGTTTAGCTGATGTTAGACAAAGAGGTGTAAGGTTGTGCTTAGGCAATTTATAAGATGTGCTGAGGAAGTCAAAAGCATGTAGAAAAATCCCAAACAAAATATGTGCTTTTTTTCTCTTCTTTCTTTAAAAATAATTTTTTTAGTTTTGGTGCAGTACCAAGTCAAAAGTCGAGCACTCAAAACTCAGGAAATTCCAGAAGCCAGAGTTCTTACAATACTACTAACTCACTCATACAGTACTTCAGTAGCATTTTGATTTCTGTTTTTCTTTCTCAGTTACAATCATGGTGCTTTATTTAATGTGAAGTTAAAAATGTTGCACTGAAGAATGTGTTGGAATTTGCAGAGTTGAAGTCCTAGCTATTTCTATCTTAGCTTTACATCAGCATTTATTGTTACTACAGTTTAAAATACTGATAATTGTATAAAAGTATATTGTGTAAGCTAATAGCATATATCAATCTATATATATTAATAGATATCAATCTACTTTATATATATTAATATATATTAATATCTTTTATATATATTCTATATACCTATTTATTCCATATTTTTTCTTTTAAAAATTACTAATTGACAATTATATTACTATTTTATTTCTCTTTATAAAATCCATCTTTAAGGCTAAAATAATGAAAATTTGGTAGATTTATTTAAAATTAACACAAAGAGAATCATCCTTTATGGTTCAAACTTAGTGCTTTATTATGTATGTTTTTCAAGATTCTCTGTAGGACTGAAGACATTGTCTAAATCCTGCTATGAAGGCAAGTATAGTCCCCACCAGCATCCTGGAGGGGAGTGAAGGAGAGGTTCTTCGCCTGCATGGATATGGATAAAAACCCAAAGAGAAACAGCTTCTCTAAAGGAAATTGCTTTTCAGGGAGAACTGGGGAGCACACGGAGAGGGAATGAATCAGACTTCTTGTGACATTGGCATATTTTTGGGTGGGGATGTGTTCCCCTGCACTGTTTCTGCATGAAACATCATTGGCTGCTGTCTGTCGTAATTTAGTTTGATAGCATTATAGTAGTAGTTGATAACATTGGTGACATCATGAGCGTAGGGACTTGAGAATATACATTTCTGTATTTTGTACTTCTTGTTAGCTGATCATCCAGATCAGAAGCTGAATGCTACTGCATTTAGTCTGGACAAAAAGCCTTAGCTGTTGAGAATCAACTGCCATCCTGAAAGTTGCTCATTTAGGGATTGTTTCAGGAAGGTTACCTAACTTCAGGCGTTTAAGCAGGTGGTGCCTGTGTTTCCGTATGTAGCAGAAAATAGAGCGTTCATGGGGCCAGACCAGGTGTGAGGAGACCACTGGTACTGTCGCCAGCTGGCTGAGGCATTCACCTTACAGAAAGTGAAGTCGTCTCCCACTTTGTATTGAAGTTGGTAAAGCTCAGGGAGAACTCCTCCCTCATAGATACACACCCTATGCAGTAGGTTGCACAGTCAGGCTCCCTCTTTATCAGCATAAAACATCAGTCTTTGCAGAAATCAGAGGCGCTTCCTTTGACAAAAGGTGGTTTGAACATGTGGAGGGCCGAGACTGCAGTCACCCAGCAACCGTATGGAGAGCAGGGCCTGCCACACAGCCTCCCCTGCCAGCTATGTTTAAAAGCCAGCAGTTAGCAAATGGTGACCTCTTGGGAATAATATATTTAGGTGCATAACACAGGTTTGGTGGAGGGGAGGGAATTCCAGGCTCTGGAGCCCAAATGAACCAGAAAAGAAAGTGTCCAGAGAAGCTCCATCACTGTTTCTTCTGGTCCAGCTCTGGGTGGCTCTTCTGTGGGTGGAGAGAGGCTTTTGGATTGCAACTTCATGGGATGTATTTGTTCAATCTCACTTCAACTACTTAACTGAGATCGGTGGAGGGAAATACTATGAAGGTATATCTGTCTGTGTTGAATGCATGGTGAAGCCAGCTTTCTAATACAGATGTTTAAGTTGGACCGCTGTTCAGAAAGGTACTGTGAAAGCATGTGCTTTGAACTGCGTAACTCTCCCCAGACACCTTGTCACAAGCCTAAACACCAAAACAGAGGTCTGGATTGCACTCCAGAGCCAGGGGCAGTAAAAGTCGAAGGACATACTGCTTAGATTTTCAGATCTTTTAATAGAAATAGCTCCAGAGACAAAGATCGCACAGGAAGTCTCTACCAGATGAGGCCAGATGCTCTCTGTCCAAATCTGGTGCCTTAAGAAGTTGTGCACCCTTCCCTTGTGCTGAATTTTAGATGGCTCTAAAACAGAGGCAGAAGCCACTAAAAGTTACAGAGGAAACAAAATTGGCCGATGTTGCAGTAATGGAGGTATCAAGATTTCAGTTTCTAACAGAAAGCCAGATTCAGATCTGCTATGAGTCATTATTACAAAAAAATTAGTGGTACATCTACTTACATTGGATCTGAATTTGATTTTAAAGTCATTATGCCATGAATCATATTTTAAGCCTTTGCCTTGAAAAGTTTTGTTTTAATCAACCTATTTGTTAGAGACAATGAAAGTTGCACAGTACCTGTCTGAAACAAAGGATATATGCAGAACTTAAGCTTTAAAAAGCTGTTTAAGCTTTTAATATGGGCAGCACATACTGAATCAAAAATTTTGGAATATGGAGTTATTTCTGGAATAAAGAATTCTTTTAAAACAAGTCCAAGAATGTATGTTTAGGACTGATTCCAGAACAGCATCATAAATTTTTTATTCTTTGGATTTGAATGAGAACCAAGAAGCTATAGCTGACTTCATTTTTCTGTTGTTAACAGCAAATTGTGACCACAATACGAGGAAGGTCCAGCAAATAAAAAGATAACAGATTTCTCTTTTTTGTGTGTATATATATATATATATAATTTTTTTTTTTCAAAAAAAGGTAAGAATAAGTGTACTTAATTTTCCTAGGAATATCATACTGCACGTTATAAGGAATTATCAGGATCGTTTTGTGCGAAGGGAAAGATCCAAATATCCCCCAAATGGCTGGCAGAATAACAACAGCAGCTGAGACTGCGGTTCTATATCTGTAGCAGCACACGAGGTGGAAGTCCAGCAACAACTGAAAGGAGTTCATTGCAATCCATTGGCCTTGTATGACATGTGGGGGGAGATGCAAACCAAGCTTTTAACCCAACACAGGTGGCAGTGCTTAACGTCAGAAATCCCTCAAGCTGGTTGCACAGCTAGATGCCCAACGAGTCTCTAACACCTCTATCTAATTTGGAAGGATGCCTGGGCATTTACACAGGCTGTATTGCCAGTGGCTGTATCAGTTGTCAGTCTGGGGAAGCTCTGGCGAAGGCCTACATACAGAGACCTGGAATCAGGAAAAGAAATGTATCTTGTCCTTATATTTATTTAGAGAATGTCTTGAAGATGTATTTACGAAGAAAAGCGTAGTCATATCTTGCCTTTAAAGACACAGAAAAAAGGTCACTCATGATTTTAGAGTCAGTGTTGTAAGTTTATGTTTGAAATTCTCAAGGGAGCTCAAAGCCAACCTCTGCAGAGCAGGGACAATAGAGTTAAGATGCCAGTCAGATCAACCATGAAGTTTCCTTCATGAGTCTTTAAGTAAAGAGGGCAGTATTATTATTTAAAGACTGGACATCTCTCTTCTCCTCAGACTAACTGTCTTGAAGAAAGAGTGGAAATATTTCCTTGGTCTTGAAAACTGTAAAAGGTCTTTTGGCTCTTACAGAAGATTATGTTGCATAAAAGAAACACCCAGAGAGCTTTCTTCAGAGGATGGGTGGTAAAAGAGAGGCAAAACTCTTACCTTAGCAAGAGTTAGTTCTGAAATTCAGGCTTTAGCTTAACATTTCACACTGACATTCTTCCGCATCATTTTGTTATGGGAGAGAAGAGGGATGGGAAAAGTAATAATGGAGACCTGAAGTGGTAGGTGACATTAGTAGGCTGATAAC